CTGTTGACTGAGTGCGGCAAAGATCTTCCTTCGGTGGCTCTTCGGTGAGTTGATGTTTCGGGTGCCATTTCTTCGTAGATTCTTCGGTGTTTCTCCTCTCTGCTTGCGACAATATGCTCGATTGGGTTACCTCCTTCCGAGACTTCGTTCAGCCGTCTTCTTGCAGTGCTGCGCAAGTCAAGCCGGTGAGACTCTTCACACTGGATTTTAGCCGGGGCCTGTGTCCAGGTGCTGTTAACTCTTTCAGGTGATGGTCGTCGTGGAAGCTGGAGTATCTGTCGAGTACGACCGCTGCTTTTTCTCCACCTCCATCCTGATCGTTGTTAGGTTTGCTCTTATGACCGCAGCTGCCGAAGGGGTGCCCGGGGGCGTACCAGTGATCAGCATGGCTGCTCTGTTGGCTGTCTCAAGCGTCTGAAGCGCTGTATTCGAGAGAAACGGTCCCCAGATCTCCAGAGCGTACAGACCAGCAGGCTTCGCGTAGGCTTTGTAAAGTTGGGACAAGTCGATCCCAAGTCTTTGCCTGCTAGTTCTTGGAGGATTTGAGTAGTAGATGTTGAGGCTGATCAGGGGGGGGGGGGACCCTGAAGACCCACTTGTATTAAGATAGGGAATAGAGCATCCGGTCTTCAAGCTATGTATTAAGATTGGGTATAAATTCTACAATGTATTAAGATAGGGAATACCGATGGTATGGTTTTATGGTTTGTGTGATGGTAAGATAATGGTAAGAAAAACGAAAATTTTTTGGTTTTTGTTAATTTTTTTCGCAAAGTTTTTGGCGCGCGCTATCTAATTGGGAACAGTTAATTGTTAATTACGTGCAGATTGTAGAATAAAGGTTATGTATTTAGTTTTTTGGTGCATGGTAAGTCAATGGTAAGAGTTTGTGTGCAAAAACTTGGATTTTTTATCAAAAAAATTTTTTCGAAAAAATTCAAAAACGATAGGATTTTGTTTAATTTGATCTAATAAAAATTTATTAGATACTTTTACTTTCTATCTATCTGAATCTATTCTGAACCTACAGAGACTTCGAAAAAAGTCAAGTTTTTTGAGAGAAAAAAATTAAATTACAAAGAAATTATATAAATCACTGCATCGTATAGTAAACTTACTGCCATAATTTACATTTTATTATCATGAAACCATAATAATATGACATCTTATATAATTTAATACATTAGAAGAGTTCTTATAAGTCCAATGGTTTTTTATGAATTCCATCATCTTGCACTTGTCTTTTAGGATAAAAACAATTTAGTCCTTTCTTTGTCTGTTCATATGTAGCAACCATATGATTTATAGTTTTGAATCCTCTATTAGTAGATGTAAGATTAATTGCTTCATCAAGCACTCTCCTGTATTTTGACATGTGACCGTCTCCAGAATCTTCTAGAACCCGCTTATTCAATCCTTTGCTGCTAAATTTGAGTTTTTCTGACTTGTTGTCATAGCAGCAATATGTCTTACTACATAAACAGAGCATTTCTGTGCACCTAAATTCTTCTTTGAAAAGTCCCGGCTCCCGCTTATCATGTTTTTTATGGATACTACAACACGTTCGAGGAAAGAAATTAGATTTTGCATCCGCCTTGAAGGAATCTCTGCAATCACTCTCCCTCATTTTTCCCAAGCAGCTCTCTTATCTGGTTGGATGCAATCGTACAAATTTTCTTCTGCAAGTGCCAAGTAAAGTGAGTCTGTGTCCATCTCCAACTCTTCAAATTTATTCACATCACAGAACTTGTCAAAGAAGTTATAGTAGAGTTCCAACATTCTCAGTTTTGCAAAAACCAGCTATGAAAAAACCAACAATGATGGGTTCTCTGTGCTCAATGGTTGACTTCAATAACTCCACCTCATATAAGTCCTTCTCAACTGTGTTAAGTCTCTTAAACAGTGGTTCATTGATTGCCTTGTGAGTTTTTTCATCGTTCAGATACTTCGTGATTGTATGTCTCGATCTATCTATGATCTGATATCCATAGGAGGAATTGCCCAAGAGCTTCATTGTTTCTGCTACAACTCCTGACAAAGGGTTTTCATCTCCTTCTCTTCTTGCATCAACCACCGATTGAACGAAATTATTGAAACACTTCCGAGGAGAATATTGAACAAATCGGTAAATTTTGGTGCACTGTAATCCAAGTTCCATATAAAAGTTGAAGAGAGGAGTTATAACCGTTCCATTTTCCAGCTTGAAACTAGATATCAGCATTCTCTGAGGATGCTTTAACATTTCGTTCTCGATCGCATAGTTTTTCATGTAATCTCCAATATCATCTCTTCCGACCTCAGTATTTTTGAAAATTGGAGGAAAATTTGCAAATTTTGATTTCAGTTCATCTGGAACAACTAAGTCGCACTGAACGTAGCCAAAAAGAGATCCATCTTTTATCTTTGCTAGAAGAGAGTCTGTAGAAAGAGGTCTTTTATAGGGAAAGTGGGTTCTGACGTGATTTTTGATCTTTTCATCGGTTTTGAAACTTTCCCACCAGTCACACTCCCACATTTCTTCAACTTTGTATCCTTTCTCTTGAATGTATTCTCGTCTCATCTCATCCATCTCTCTCTTCTTATTTCCTCGCTCGATATCCTGTTCTGTTAAGGAGGGACGAGCTTCTTGACAAGAACAAAAGTGATAGTAGCATCACATTTCCTCGAATACTGTTTTACAGTGATCACAATAACCGTTCACGTTAAAACAGTCAATTTTCTTCTGTTTTCCAGATGTAAAAAAGCTCTCAATTTTACATTCTGGTCTTGATTCTTGATAGAAAGACATGACCATATTCTCAAAGTTGCGAGTTCGGTTATGTCTAGCCTTTAATTTCTGCATATCAGTGTCAAACTCCCATCTCGTATACAGTCCTGTTGGCATTTCTTGACACATTGAGAAAGGGTAAAGCTGGCTTGCATCAATTCCAACGATTGATTTACAAACATTTGATGAATTTCTGATGTATGTTTCATCAACTACAGCTTTTCGAGTGAAGACAATTGAAGGCCCACCGGTCATGTCTTCTCGTATTTTTTCGAACAAATGTTTATCATTTTCGCAAAATGGATAAAACTTGTAATTTGTAGATTTGTGTAGACATATGTTTGCTAGATTTGGAAGTGTACATCCAAGTTTCAACATATCTATCCCTTTGTTATGATGAAATTGGATCATTTTTTGCATTGCTTCCAGGGTTGGAACTACATCTTTGTTGTTGTACCACTGCAAAAAGTCTTCGAACACAGTCATTCCGTTTCTCTGCCAAGTTTGTTGTAAGTAACTGCAATTATCTAGACCAGATGGGGGTACAGTCTTGATTTGAAGCTTTTTCAGTGCTTGCTGTTCATCAAGTCCACTCTTCCTCAGTTTTTCAAAATCAGTAAAGTTTTTGTCTAGAGGATTGTTGTTTCTAAGTTTACTGAAAAATGCTTCATATGGGGGCAGTCCTGGAAAATCAAGTTTGTCAGGGTTGTCAAACCACTCATAAGAAAAGAATCCTTTTGTTTCACTAGCTTTATAAGCTTTGAGAAATGAGTCCAGAGTTGTTGCTCCACCCAGAAATTTCATAATGTCAAGAAATTGTACATCTCCAAACTTGAAAGATATAAAATCATTTGCTTTTTTGATAACGGATGTTTCTTGCTCTTTATCGCGAATCAAATAAGGGATTAAGTAGGACTTGATCAAATTTAAGTCATATCTACCACTGTTAAATCCAAAAACAGGTAAAGTATTTATATATCTCTCCAGATGTTGTTTCAAATCGATGAGTTGATTTTTCTGAATTCGCAAAAATTGTGTTGACATATCTGCTTCTTCCGAATCTTCAATGCATTCGTCTTCGTACTCGAATTTGTTACTTGAATAATTTTTACCACGTTCGTTCAGTTGATCAAAGATCTTTTTCATTCGTTCATTGACAGCTCTTTCAATATCTTGAAATTTTGTTCTCATCTCCAACTTACTTTTTTCAGCTAACAGTTCGAGGTTGGATACAAAATCAATTATCAAGTTCTGTGTATCCTTGTTGTACAAGAAGATGGGATCATCAATCAAATTCGATGATATAGAGACTGAAATGGGGACATGTTTTCCAATCTAGGTAGTAGTTTGTGTTTCTTTTATTTCCTCTGTAGGAACACAAATCGATTCAAAATCGAAAGTTGCTTGATTATTGAAGAGCTTGTTATCTTCAGAAACTGGAAGATTGAATCCCTCTAGCTTTTCAAACAAGGTTTCGCGAAGTTCATACACGTTCTTTGGGTAAATATGTCTCACTCGGTCCTTACATCTCAGGTGATGCTGATTGAAGTGATCTGATTTGTGGAAAA